TTCTGCTTCTGGTTCCGGCTCCAATCCCGGAGCAGTTTCTTCTTCTTCCCGTTTCCGGGAGCTTTTTTCAACTACCGTCGTCACGTGTCAAGTTTCTGCCCAAACAACATTAACCCAGCAAAGCAACCTAACAGCGATGTGTAGAAGCATATCTGAAAGCATTCCCCTTAAGATTCAGATGAAAATCCAGTTGTAGAATTCTGCTGTTCTCGCAGTCGTAGTCGCATTCGCGATGACAGTCGCAGCGGCAACGGCAGTCGCAGTCACAGCCTCAACCTCAGCCTGTCTCAGCCTCAGCCTCAGCCTGCCTCAGCCTCAGCCTGCCTCCGCCTCAGCCTCAGCCTGCTTCAGCCTCAGCCTCAGTCTGCCTTCAGCTTCGGCCTCAGCCTCAGCCTCGGCCTCAGCCTCAGCCACTGGTTCAGCTCAGCCTCCAAGACCTGCGCACCTCAGCCTGCCTCAGCATCAGCCTGCCTCAGCCTCAGCCTCAGCCTGCCTCAGCCTCAGCCTCAGCCTGCTTCAGCCTCAGCCTCAGTCTGCCTTCAGCCTCGGCCTCAGCCTCAGCATGCCTCAGCCTCAGCCTGCCTCGGCCGCAGCATCAGCCTGCCTCAGCATTCAAAATGTGGCCCAGGAACGGAGTTCTGGGAACTAGAAGAACACGAAGTGGCCTACAGTTGGCTCCGGGCATTCAAAATGTGGCCCGGGAATGGAGTTCTGGGAACTCGAAGACCACGAAGTGGCCTACAGTTGGCTCCGGGCATTCAAAATGTGGCCCGGGAATGGAGTTCTGGGAATTCGAAGAGCACGAAGTGGCCTACAGTTGGCTCCGGGCATCCAAAATGTGGCCCGGGAATGGAGTTCTGGGAAGTCGAAGAGCACGAAGTGGCCTACAGTTGGCTCCGGGCATTCAGAATGTGGCCCGGGAATGGAATTCTGGGAGGTCGAAGAGCACGAAGTGTGTGACTGTTGGCGAAAAGCGAGCCGGGCTCTGTTCCCGGTTCTCCAGAATGTGGCCCGGGAATGGAGTTTTGGGAGGTCGAAGAGCACGAAGTGTGTGACTGTTGGCGAAAAACGATTCCCGGTTCTCCTCCCCGGCACCCGCCCAGACCCCCCTGA